TTTTGCGTCACGGATGAACTAGTCATTTCTCATCAATATATTTCTTAATGTGTATTTTTATTAGAAATGTGCATACAGAACCTATGAAAACAACCTAAATTTATTATACTATTTTAATAATCGAAGCAGGATAAAAATCATGGTAAAGTCAATCTTTCCAGCGCTCCCTGGACCAAATGAATCTGCTGGGATTATACAGAGGCCGAAACGTGCTAGCAGTTTACAATTTACAGAAAGGGTGAATTTTTTAGTTTTAATCCCCGATTAATGAAAATTCTTTTTGTAGAAGCTCTGCTACTGATCAGTCACCAGGTACTTTCAAATAAATATTTTATCCCTTTCTATCTCTTAGTTTACAGGAATGGTGCATTTTTTCAGTTTTAACACCCTATTAATGAAAATTCTTTTTGTAGGAGCTCTGCTATACTGATTAGTCACCAGGTACTTTCAAATAAATATTTTAACCCTTTTTATCTCTCAGTTTTGCTCGGAGAAATGAGCCGGCTTACAACTCAAAGCGAGGCCAAATGATGGCCCGCTACATCGGGATTGGCTTCTGGCGGGAGCGTAAAAAATGAATGCCAAGGACCCAGTTTTTTTTCACTAATGCTTCGGCCGGCGTTATCGGTGAACAGCTGCCATAGGAACCACTTCCTCGATAATTTTGCCGTCGGTCGCATTAAGTTCGGAATTAAGAAAACTAAAAGTAAAACCTCCCCTTTAGCCCTCTGCCCAGGTCATAATTCTAGCGTTGTGCTGGTCAACCGAACTTTTTCTATAGTTGTCTGTGATTTCTTCATCTGCAGGTTTCAAAATGAAAGCGATATTTTGGCGCTATTTATTCATCAGTGCTTATGTTCGTAAGTGCGTCAGGTTAATTTCATTCAAAAGTCAGAATATGATCGGGAACAGCAATAATATTATTTATTGCTAGAGGAATTCAAAATTCGAAGAGTTGTCAATTCATTTGAATCCTACAGAACGTTAGAAATTCCTTTTATAGCTGCACTTATAGGAGAAAATATTTGAATTTCAAGAAATTTAGTAGTTCATGAAGTTAATTTGCTTAAATTATTTTTCTAACTAGTAGCTCAGTATGGGTTTTTACAGTCACATTATCAAGGTGAAAGTAAGCCTTTTTCCTATAAAACATCTCAATGTTGAGTCAACTTTCAATAACCTATTGTTTTTTTTTTTTCAAACTAAATCTCGCTGAATCGTTACAATTTGTTTTCTGTATCCTTTTTATTACTTTTTTCAATTTATTTTTGATGAAATAAAGGAACATTAGGATGCAACAAATGGAAGTAGAGAAGTGGCCACGTAGAAGTTATCAAAGCCTAATGCAGGCATTTGAGGCATTCGTTTCCAACCCTGCAATGAGACAGTTTCACACGTGCATATTGATTATTTTATAGTAAACAACATTTCGTGTGCGGTCGATTTTTTTAAGCTTAGCGCTGTGAGTATACAATACAAAGAAACTTATTACTATATATTATCGTGTATCGTGTATGTAAGTTTTATTTTAATGGCGTAATCATGAGTCCTTATTTGGTTAAGAAAAAACAAAAACATTTTTATTCAATTTTTGTTAATTTAGATATCCTGAAAAATTGTTACTTCTTTAGAAAATGCAGACCAGACCGGGAGTGATTGAAATTTCAATAGTAAATATGGTACTACCTTAGGTACTATCTTAGTACTATCTTTACGTAACTCTTGATTAAAATTTGTAATTCGGGATAACTTTATTCTCACATCTCAGGATTTATCTTTCCCGAGCAACACCGAGTTAATCAACGCACAAATATCGGAGCACCAAAATTTAAAAATAACATTTTTCTTGCTGCGTTTGCTTCCCATTACAATTTCCATGTTGAAATTTGACTTGCTACCTTTCGAGGAGTTTTTGAATTCAATTCCCCAAATTAAAGAGTTGTCTTGGGTTTTTAGTACCCAATGAACGCGGGGCTGCCCCAATTTTAAAGTATCATTTGATGGTGCTTGGTCATGTATCAACTCGTTCTATGGTATAATCATTATTGGGACGTAGGAAATACCAAGTATCTTTCAAACGCTATTAACGTTTTAAGCTTACCTATTGAGCTGTTATGCATGGTGCATCAAAACTCGGTAATACAGAAATATTTCACCTCGAGTATATTTTATAAATATCTTTAGCCTATGTTCATCAATAAATTCATATGATTGCGTAATTTTCTTGCAATGTAAAATTGAAAGGAGAAAATTTCACATTGCAATGTGATATTGAAAGGAGTTAATCTTTTAATTAGCCTTTTTAATTCCGCGTCTCTTTGGCAACGAGGAAGCAAGAACAAATTTCTAGCATTAGCCTTTCATATTGCAATCGTTCAATCAGGCTCTGGCTAACATTTTTCGCATCGCTGTGTGCTTGACGACAGCTATCGTCCCCAGTTAAAATTTGCAATGCTTTTTTATATTGAAGTAAGTATAATTAATATAATTATAAGAAGGCTGTCTCTATCAATGGCATGTGCGTACTGCTTGTGGGTGCAACTTTTGAGCTTGGATTCATGTTTCAGGCTAAATTGGATACGTGACACCAAAAAATGACAACTAAGCCTAAGGTTAAATTTATATTCGAAGTTCGGGTTGCAAAAATTTAGGCAAAAAAGAACAGGGCTTGTAGCGATCACATGATCCGGATCAGGCGATATCTAAGGATTACCGAGACACCTGGTAAAACTGTATGACAGGCGTGAACTCCTAGTTAATCTTAGAAACAAAATTTGTTTCTCAACCGTACGTGAGGGGTAGATTTTGCCTAAAAAATCAACCGCAATTTTAAGGAAGTATGTATTTCTTAGCATCATTCCACCCGCTCAGACACGTGGTCGTTAACATAACGAAAATTCTTCATTTTTTAGCCTTGCCTGTTTAACCCTGAATATGCTCACTAAATTAAAAATTAGTTCTATCACGCAGTTTTAAATAATTAGGGCATATTTTTTCCAATGCGTGGGATGCTCACGTCTAACACTAATACCATTCATGTTTGTCTATGATGACGATGATCTAGTTAGGATGGTTATGATTATACAGTAGACTTATATTTATGTTCACTGCGGCTCACAATAAACCGTTACTTTGCAGTGACACTCCAGCGAATTTTTTTGGGTCACTTTGCCAGGTATATTAGAAAAAAATGTATAATTTTGAATTTTCGAAACTTATTTTAAGATCGAACTACCATAAACAGCATCGAGGATCCATGCAAACCTCATTTAAACATATATATAATGCATAATAATAATGATAATATACCAATCGAACGTTAGTCTAAACCCGCGACTCTTCGGCAAATATTCAAGAAAAGCTACCGGTAATGGAAAAAATTTAATATCAATGACATATTCCGCTCAGGTTTTGCGAATTGTAATTTGAGGGGCTATTTAGAACATAACAAAACATAAAAAAAAGTATTTCTTGTTTCAATAATCAAAATCCGTCATAACTTTCTTCCATGGTAGATATTTGAAGGCGATGGTGATGTGATGAGAATAATATGCATAAATGTTAAAAATCACAAAATCCTTGATAACTCACACGCATGGAGAAAGTTGTAGGCGATAAAGATCAGAAAAACGAGAATTAATATTGTTCAATAATACAAAATTGCTCATAACTCGCTCACATGAAAAAGTCAAAAGCGATAGTAATCTGGTCAGAACAATTCCCTTCTTTTTGCCGCACTCACAAGCCTCGCCCGCTTGTCTGCCCCCTGATCGTGAAGTGTAATGTATGGTGAAGCAACTCATACACGAAACTTATTGACGCAACATACCCATGCGTGGTGAATGCTGGTGCGGCACTAGCTCACGCAACAGTAAGGACTAAGTCCATTTAAGAGAGCCCTGCCAGGTGTCAGGAGGTTTGGTCAAACTTTCGTTTGGTCAAAGTTCGTTCTGTCGAACTTTTACAGAAATTCTCTGGCGCATGCACCAAACAGAACCGTTGATTTCGACCACTTATATATATTTAGTGGCTAAGAGAACGAATTTAAAGCACATATGACCCCGGCAGCGCAAATCCAATATCAAATGTAGAACAATTCATAAAAATTATTTTTCTCACGATAGATATTAAATGAAATGCCTTTACTGAAATTTCAACTTCGGTAAAAGTAACGTTATTCATATTAAAATTCGAACTAATTCGATCTAAATATTGCACGACACACAAATAACACCACATTTTTTGGATAATTTTCAAACGTTCAAGTCAAGTATCGTTGGCGATTCTATTTTTTCTCATGTTTGTTCTTCGTTTCCTGGTGAGTGCAGTGAAATGTTGTGCGCCCAACCCCCGTTGCGCCAACATTCAAAGCAGCGGCGGCGCGGTCAGGTCAATCGTGTCGGGGCGGGAAAGCAAATGGGATTGCGCGAGCACCGCATGGCAATTCTGATCCACATTTCGGACATCAGTTACTTGAAAACAATTCTCTCTGAAGATATAAACTGCGAATAATTCTTGAAATTTTCGATCCGGGTCATTTCACCAGAGCCGAATGATTGATGCACAGAAATGCAAGGAGCCACTTATATAAAAAAGTGGTTTTCAAAATATTACTTGAAAACGAAAAATTCCTCAACAGCCTCATTCGGAAAATCATTCGAACATTGACTATAAATGATTCGTTTAATTTGATATCACTCACATATAAGAACGAAAAATTATAATTTTTTATTAAATCGAGTTAAAGTCTATTAACAATCTGATCATTAAACGTAAAATGTAATTGTTGAAACACGTAAACAATATCTTTCCGCGATACTTCTATACTAAATATTTAACATTAGAATGAACTTTTAAACACGTGTTTAATGCATGCCACTCAGACTCCTCATGTTCTATATAGGGATTGTCGAACTATTAAATCATGTCTGCAACTACTGTAATCAACAGTTCATATCTAGCCGTCTCGAATGGAAATTAACATTGATTTTCTGTTGCAGGTGACATGTCTCTTGGCTGTGGTGGCTCTCACAGTTGCCGCTCCTCAACGTTTCGACGTCAACAAATTGGTCACCGCGCCCCAGCTTGACACACCAAACGTGGTGCCTCCAGCAGCCTCATCGACCAACGACGAAAATACCGATATTGTTGATTATGAAATTAAAAACTTGCCACTTGCCCATGTAAATGGAACGAGCATTTTTCAGACGAGCAAAATCGACGAAGAAGTAAATCAAATTAATTCAACCTCTGACCCAATACATGTAACAAACACAGAGACGATTCAGCGATATGAGCCGCAACTTCAGACTCCAGATTCGATTAAAAGAACTCTGGAATCTTTCTTCGAGAACGATGAATTTACGAATGAAAATTCAGAAGTTGGTACATCAATCTTTCTTAATGTTGGAGACTCATCCACTGCGTTCACTGATAAGACTGACGAAGTAGGTGCTTCAATTGGTAGCACATTAGTACTTGAAACGATCGCTAGCACAGAGGCACCAACGAGTACATTAGTCCCAGAGACAATATCTAAAACGGAGGTTCCAGCTAGTACATTAGAACTTGATACTCAGACTACAGACAAAGGTCAACTTGCTATCGATGAAAATGTGCTCAGCCAGATGGTTGCATTAGTCAACGCGCTGAAGTCCAACTCTATTGTAGATGTTAAAGCTCCAGCTACAGAAAATTCTGATCATTTTACGGCTGAAGAAAGAAGTAAAAGGCATGGCTTGCACTCATTAAAATTCAACGAGCAGACTACCATACCTGACGAAACACCAGAAGGTGAAGAAGAAGCCAATCAAGAAGCAGTGCTTACAAGACGAACGACAAAACCTGCACAATCTGAACCCAATAAATCTGAGAAAGAAGCAAAGATGACGGATCAAGAAGAAGCAGAGTTGCCGGGAATTAACGATGAAACCGCTCAGGCATCGAAAGTTGAGTCACACGTCGATGAACATTCTGAAACGAGAACAGTAGTTACAGAAATTACAGCTTCTCCTTCTTCTTTCTCATCCAGAACCTCCAAAGTTGAACCACAAATTGAAGAATTTGAATTTAGTTCTGACAGGAAAACAGCTGCAATCGAATCAGGGTCAAGAAAAGGAAAACGGCATAATTCGAAGGAGCCAGAGAATGTGCAGTCTAAATCGTTCTCATCTTCAGCTGATGACTCGCTTTATGCATTAGATACTCCAACAGTTAAAACCAGGAGACACAACACGCAAGAGGGGAAATATGCTGCTCCACCTCAGTGGCCGGTGAGTTGAATTGCTCTTTCACTATCATAAATTATTCATCGAGGTATTGTAGTTACTCCAGCGGCTCGAACAAAAAGAATTGGATTAAATTTGTTAGAATATGTTGTCAACATGATCTGGAAAAACATATTGAACTTCGAAATGATGAACTAAACACCGAACATCAAGAATCTAGTTACCCTTATTTTTTTATTTTTGTGAGTCTCAATGCGTAAAATTAACTAAGCAAAAGCTGTAATAAAGTCTAAATGCAACTAGTTGGCAAAAGTTTCTCATACCATGGGAGAGTTGAGCAAGAATATCAGAGCAATCTGAGGATCCTTCATTTCCTTACAGCCCTTGATGCCATACAACTTCGCCTTCGAGGTGAGGGATGACGAGACGACCAACTACCAGAACAGGGTAGAGGTGGTCGAGGATGGGGTGCTCAGAGGTTCCTTCAGCTTCTTGGGTGCGGACGGTGTCATCAGGACTGTGACGTATACCGATGATGGAACCTCCGGTTTCCAGGTACACTTAAGTAAATAGTTGCAGAAACACAATGGGATTTGCGCATGACATTTAATCCAGGCTTCTTATCGAAAGGATGAAATTTTTCTAAAATATTTCATGAAAATTAAACTCAAAATTAAATTATTCAAAAATAAATGCCTAAGTAATTTACGAGATCTTTTTCATTGCAGATCCAAACTCAGGAGATTCCTACCGACGTCATCGTTGTTGGTGCTCACGACTACAAAATAAAAGGACGCTACGGAAATAACCTAAACCGGGGCGAAAACAATGCGGAAACAATCCCTACAACAGGAGGGGAGAAGCAGACATCAGGCACTGTTACCAGTAGCGGGGTAAACCGAGCACCAGGCTATACTGGGGGTAGCAAATCCGTGTCTCTCAGCAGCTCTGGCAGGGCGACTTCAGCCACCACCAAAAGTGCAGGAACAACTATCCCGATTCCGACCCTTGTAACAACACATCTTAGTTCGAAAAAGACAAGTGATGCTTCTAAGCTTTCCAGTGGTAGTAGCACTTCAGTTGTCAACAACGCTGGAAGCAAATCGATTTCATCGTCGGCATCGAGTGGATTATTACTCACTTCCGCAGAGGGAAAAGCTTCTACTTCTGAAGCTGAAGAAGAGGAAACAAGCACTACGTCTGCAACTCAAATTCAGAAAGTTGCGTCATCCACTGGCTTTAGCTCATCAATTTCCGATGAGACTGCCTTAGCATCCGCTGTTCAAGCTAAAAACGTTTTTTCAGGTAGCAAAGAGAGTAAAGTTACTGTTGCTTCGAGTGGCAGCAGTGGCTCCTTGATAACAAAGTCAAGCAGTGACATTTCACTGACCTCGGATCATGCAAAAGATGGCGTTTCGAAAAGTAAGAAACAAGAAACTTTTACGGTGATCGACAAAATCAGGCAAAAAGAATTGAGCAGTGAGAATGACGAAAGAACCAGCGATGGCGAACAATTTTCAGTTGAACTTAAAAAATCTGAGAAGGCAGAAGAAAATCAAGCTAGAAATAAAAACGAAGACGAATCAAAAGAGAGCAATAATAATTCTGGGTCCCCGGTCACCATTATTCTTGGTTCTCATTCTCTGTCAGGCTCAGGCCTGATCGAAGCAATCCGCAAGAGTCAAAGTTTGAGTCCAGGTAAAGAGTCGCAAGCAAGTACGCACAATTTAGACGCGATAAATCCAAACACGCCTATCACAGTCGTCTTCGGAAACAATCAAGCATCTGTTCAGCAATCGCAGCAAAGTTTAGAAGGTTCGCTCTCCTCGCAGCAAGGGTCATCTATTGCTATAGGCAGTTCTAATGTGGAAATCAGTAACTCAGATTCCGGTGCCTCCAGCGCTGCCACTGAAGCTTCGCATTCTAGTTCGACTTTGGCAGTTGGTCACGAAAAGGCAGGACTTAGCTCTGTTGCATCAAGCCAAACAACTAAGGCATCATCATCTAACTCTGGAATTCAATCTACTATCTCGGGTACAGCATCGTCAAGCTCTGCCACTGTAGCAGCAACTGGTTCTAGAACCGTAGCCACCAGTACTGGAGGCCAATCCCTAACATCTGACACATCATTCCCTCATACTTCAATCTTCAGGATACCGATCTTTCAGACAACATCAACTACTGGACCAGAGTCAGCGGGGCCCCATTTCTTTGCCTCTTCCTTAGCTAGTAATGTTGCTTCTTTGACTAGTCTTGATCGTGTGCCCTCTACTGCTTCGCAAATTAAATCCATCTCCGGAGAACCAAAAAGTTCTGGAAAAAGCTTTACATCATCTACAAAATCTAAAATTATAAAACTTGAGAGTAGCGGGTCCAGCAAATCTGCAAATAGTGCTTCCACATCAGTATTAAAAGCCAGCGCTGCTCAAAAGGGTTCTTCATCATCTAGCCCTGCTTCTGCCAAATCAACAGCAGCCAATGGCATTTCTTCCATCAATGTGTTCTCTGTAGCACCATCAGGCGTCATAACCTTGCAGCCTGTTGCTTTCATTTCAGAAGAAATAGGCAAATCATCAATACAGTTGGATGGTTCCACATCAACTGTAAGCACAAGTGCATCAACTGATAGCTCTCTTGATGTCGGCTCCACTGCTGCCACTTTATCAGAAGCTATCTCTGCTGCTGCCACCTCTAAAGGCACGGAACTATCTTCGGGGAATTCAAAAAGTACGACAGCTTTTGTTTCTGGAAGTGAAAAGATTGGATCTGACACGTCTAGTACTACTTCAGGATCTAGCTCTGATATAAGTGGTAGTGATACCACTGAACAAAAATCAGTGTCTGAAAATAGCTCCTTGATAAAATCTGTTTCCTCCAGTCTAGCAACTTTTCTTGGAGGCGCTCCCCCCTCGAAGCCAATTGTTATCTTCCCAGTGAAAGACACACCGGCAGCTGAACCATTCGTTATTTTACCAGCCATAGGAGGTAGCATTGGTAAAGGAATTGGTGGATCTTCAGCAGATATACCGGCTGGTCCAATTCAATCTTTTGATAGTAGTATTTCTGGTACGATAAGTGCAACGTCTACGGTTAATGAAGAGTCGGACGGTTCAGCTGTGCAAATAATCCCTGCTCAAAGCATTAAATCTGTTTCTGAGGGCACAGGAACATTATCATCAGGGAGTTCTGTTAACATAATATCACAAGCATCCAGTACTCCTGTTGAAGCATCCACCTCGCAAAAGTCATCGGATGCATCGACTCTAGCTGAATTTTTGTCTCAGCCAAATTCTGGGCTCCAAAAAGCACCTGTATTCGGTCTTCAACCGTCTCCATTCGATGGTGGAAACACTATCTCATCTTCAAATGCAGGAGGTTCACAGCAACTATCTGATTTCTCTGCTGGAGTTGGCGGAAGATTTGGATTTGGAAATAATTTTAACTCGTTTTCTCATGCAGTTCCGTTCTTCGGAAATCAGTTTCAAGTTCTGAACAGGCCTGAATTTGACACAACGGCGTTTAACGGAAACGCTCAACAATTTTCAAGCGTTGGAGCTTCGAATCAAAATGGATTTTCTGTTTTTAGAGCTAATCCAGGAATTCTTTCAGTAGAGAGACCAGCCGGTTTCGAGGATACTAGATTCGGTTTCCATCAAAACTTTGATCAGCTGATTGGGAGCCCAGATTCTTTTGGGTTAGCCTCATCTGGCAACCCTAACCCGTTTCTGAGCCCATCTCACGGTGGAAATCACTTTGGTGATGCATCCATTTCAGCTGCTTCTTCGGTCAGCAATTCAGGTTTCAGACCATCTATTTTTCTAGGCGATCATTCTTTTTCCAGCAACCTTAGACCAAATTTCCCTGCAAGTGTAGCCTTCGGAAAAACTTTCCCTTCAACTGGAAGATTTGCAAGAGGCTCCTCTGCACAAAAGACTGAAGTTTAAAGGGACCATGACGATGTGCCATGCAAGTTCTCTTTACTAGCATTGATCTTGAGTCTGCTTTGGTGCTGAGGAAAAGACATTACTGAAATTTTTGGAGCCTAACGAATGTAGCAACGATCTAAACTGATGCCACTCTCAGTCAAAAAATTTATTTGCCATACGTTATTCTTTTGCTGTTGTTCCTGTTTTTCGTAGCCACTTTTATCGCTCAATTTCAGATTGGAAATCTAATTAACACTTTACGCTTCAGTGGCAAATATCTTGAACTAGACTTCCAAATTTGCGATCAGGCTGTGATAAAACCCACTTACAAAACGTGTAGCGAATCAATTGATTGGGTTACGATGAATTAAGTTACGAGACGATGTTTGGGCAAGATACAAGTGTTCTTCAATATCATGGATTCCAAGATATTATACGCAAGACGCTCTAGAGCCACTTACTGATCATAAAAATTATTTTGCAAGAATATTTCGTTGAACTTCGAACTTTTCAACGAAAAATAATTTGCTAGGGCTTAGATAACATTTATTATGGGCAGGGGATACATTGGATACATTTGATGACATTTCGAGTCTGAGAAGATGATTTTCACAAGTCAATTTCATAGTATTTTATTTATCTTGTCAAATATAAATGAGAGAAAAATACTGCGTTTCATTCAGATTCTTTATAGTGTCTTTCGATTATAGATGGGAATGCTCTAGATACAGCGCTATCCTCTCCTCAAAACCAAGGATAAACGAACAGCTAAGTAGCTGTAGCATTTCAAGAAATTAGTTTGAAATGAAGACTGCTGTCCATCTAAATTTGTGCGTAATTTTTTCAATGCTTAGGAGAATTAAAGAAATCACTGTCATGTTATGTCGTTTATTTTCGTTTGCAAAGGTCGGTCGATGCAATTAAATTATTTGCTGGTTATTAAGCCGTTTTTGACATCCCTACACGGACTCATTTTCACATCAACTAGGTCGGTATACGGGGTAGAAGGCCATGCTATTTTGCATAAAGCTATGGAAAAGAAGCACCTCGCGTGTGAAATAAATAAATAAATACATTATGTGCTGCTGGCTGTGACTAATGGAGGCCTTAACAGGTTCATAAATTTAATTCTCTGGTACACACAATAAATTAATATTCTTATTTCTATTTAACGGTATCTTCTAGTGAATCTATATAATTTATTTTCTTTGATATCTTAATCATAAGTCTTCTCGGTTGTCTACTCAAAATTATCACATTCTAAATTAAACTTCACGATCTATCTTCACAACGCTGGTAGCTTCATATTTGTGGTCGGCGGGTACGAAAAATGGGATAACATTAGTCTCCCTGGTTGGATATTTAACACTAACTTGTCGCAAGTCAGTAATTCGGGCCTTATTTCCAGCGGCTGGTGAACTTCTTCCAATGTTAGCGGCTGAGTAAAGAGTGCTAGGGGCTTCCACGGAGTCTGGTCCTTCTGTGAAAGTTACTTGTGGGGCATTGAATGAGTAGCCGGTCCGTTCAACTACCACAGGAGATTGAGTGCGAACAGTTTGGCCGTTCACGGTAGTGGAGCTGCTAGAGGAACTGTAGGTGGTTGTGGAACCGGATGTTCTCACGGGCCCTTCAGACTTGGTAACAACAACTTCAAGGGGTCCAGAGCTGCTCGAAGACTGACGAGAGTAGCCAGAAGTGCCTGTATTCCTAGATGAGCTGCTTCCGCCTCCAAGATTGCCTTGAGATCCGCGTGAAATCTTCACCTCACCTGTTGCTTCATAAACGTGCTGGGCAGGTGTAAAGTGGCTAATAGTTCCTGATGAAACTACTGGAGCCTTTACCGATACCTTGCGGGTCAATTCAAACCCACTTCCTGACGAAACCTGTGATACCTGAGGTGCAGACTGTGCTGATGCAAAGGTCTGACGACTTTGAGAGCTTGAAGAATAAGAACGAGAAGCCTGAGCTTCTGCTTCGGCACGAGCAGCCGCTTCAGCTCTTGCTGCAGCGGCTGCAGCAGCGCGAGCGGCAGCAGCACGTGCAGCAGCAGCAGCAGCTGCTTCAGCAGCAGCTCTTTCTGCATCGTATGATGAAGAAGAAGATGATTGAGAGGATGAGGTCTGGCTGTAAGAGCCAGACGACCTACTGCCCGATCCACTGCCTCTCACAATGGTAACATCACCCGATGCTTCGTAGTTGTGCTGCGCGGGGGAAAAGTGATTGATCGTGCCCGATGGACGAGCTGGATTGGATACGGTTACTTTCCTCGTAATTGTGAACCCATCGGAAGATGAGGCAACTGGTGCGGAAGATGACTGGCTGCTTGAGGTGCCCGTCGACACTGAAGATCCGGACACTCGGGAGGCAGAGTAAGACCCGCCTGCTGACTGTGATCCTGATGCAGACGATGCTCGTGACCCAGAACCTGATGCGCTTGTCGTTTGGGAGCCTAAAGACGATGTGACTGACGCGCCTGATCCCGATGAAGAGGAGGAAGAAGAGTCAGACACTCGTGAACCTGAAGACGATGAACTAGAAGATGCAGAACTGTATCTTCTGGAATCTTGAGAAGAAGAGGAGGAGCTTGAAGAGCCTGACAATTGAGAGGCAGCGCCAGACGAAGCAAGAGCAGAAGACGACGTCTGAGATACGCTAAGTCTAGAGGCTGCTGCACTTCCAGCTGCGGCCGCCCCTCGAGAGGCGGAGGTCTGGTAGACGTTGGAAGATTTGCTTGAAGAGGACGAGCCTCTGGTTCGTGCAATGTTCAGAGCTCTGGCATAAGAATTGGCCCATTTGAGAGCAGCTTTGCCATCTTGGTCATAATTGTCGACATATCGGTTCTTGGCTCCAGAAACTGCATAGTCCTGGTAATATCGGATGCCGTTGTTGCTGAACTTGATGGCAGGTGCGTAAATATCGGCTTCTACTTCTTTGATATCGAGTCCTGATTCAACACGGTCCACGCTCACCTGTAAATAATTGTACACAGTGTAAATTAATCATAAAACAAATACTTATATTATAATTTATTTGCTCGTGACTAACTATTTTATAGGCGTTCTTTCGGTTTTTTACCCCACAGATAATTATGTTCAATTAAAATTCGTTTATAGTACTAATGTGAATTTAACCATAAAATTAAACCAGGATCAAATTAACAGACTAATAACTAATCTTCCCACAATTTTGTGCCATCGATAATTGGCATTTGTAATTTCAAATCATGTAGATATACTATTCACACATTTAAATTAGAACTTTTCGATGAATTATTAATTACCATGTATCCCATTCCGGGGCTCGAAGAGTATGTGTAGTTGTACAGGAAACCATCACTCAGCGCTACCGTGTACCATCCGTGCGTGACTCCGTCTTCGTCCACCCACTCGTACCGGCCTTGGTAGTTGCCGCTATCGGCGTCGGCCACGTTGAGCCCAAACTGATATGGGTCCACAGGCTGAAAATAAATTTTCATTACCATTGACTACGTTTTTTATAATTGGTCTAAGACTTATGGAGTCAGCAGCACCTACCAGTCTGACCTCTGTCATGGGTTGACTCCTTTTGCCTGCACCGACTCTATCGAATAGTAAATTTATCTGCAGATTTACACAGGAAATGTAAAAAAATTGATCAACACCAGTCGAAAAATTAATTCAAATTATAATAGATTTTTCGTCTACAACTTCATCACAAACGGTAAACTGCATTTTTTTTCGGGGTCATCATTCGAGTTTGTATCAAATAAAAAAAGAATTTTTGTGCATAGATATTAATTTTTCCCACTCCGGTCTCCGTTAAATAATTACTCACAGATCCATCATCTTCGCCTGATTCCTGGCGCACAGTGACTTGCTCCTTGGCGTTTGCCCTGAACTTGGCAAGCTCTGCAAGAAGATCAGCCGACGACGCGTGGCTGCGGCTCCTGGATCCGTACTCCGTGATAACTCCACTGCTTCTCTGCGAAGCTTCTGATTCTCTGGCCAGAGCAGCGGCTTGCTGCGCCGACTGTGCGAAGAAGATCAGCTGCTGCTCCAAATCAGAATCTGAGGCGCTGCTGGAAGATGATGCTTGTGAAGCAGATGATGTGGAGCTTGATCTGGATGCCGATGATGATCCAGATAATTGAGCGGAATTGGATGAGCTAGAAGAGCTGTAAGTTCGTGAAGATTGCGCTGATGATTGTCTTGATGCAGCTGCTTGGGCTTCAGCAGTTCTACGAGCTTCAGCAGCAGCTCTAGCTTCAGCAGCAGCTCTGGCTTCAGCAGCAGCTCTAGCTTCAGCAGCAGCTCTAGCTTCAGCTGTTCGCCTGGCTTCGGCAGCAGCTCTGGCCTCGGCAGCAGCCCTAGCTTCAGCAGCTGCTCGGGCTTCGGCGGCAGCTCTAGCTTCATAAGATGACCTGGATTCGGCAGCAGCTCTAGCTTCAGCGGCAGCTCTAGCCTCGGCAGCTCGTCGAGCTTCAGCGGAGGCTCTAGCTTCAGCTGCAGCTCTGGCTTCAGCTGCAGCCCTGGCTTCAGCTGCAGCTCTAGCTTCAGCTGCAGCCCTGGCTTCAGCTGCAGCTCTAGCTTCAGCAGCGGCTCTGGCTTCAGCATCGAATGAAGATGCGTAACTCGTGGTCCTTGAGGCTGTGCTGGAAGCTCCGGACTGGCCGCGTACAGCTGAAGAAGACCCTGAGGTCTGTCTGTTGATGATGACCAGACCTTCCGCTTCGTAGTTATGCTGTGCTGGCGTGAAGTGGTTGATGGTGCCTGAGGGTCGAGCCTTGTTTGAAACTGTCACCCGACGGTTGAGGGAAAGTCCTGATCCAGAGCCCGATGAGCCAGAGCTGCTCGACTGAGCGTACGTTCTGGAACTGGAGGCTTGGGCTACGGCTGCTCTTCTTGCTTCTTCAGCAGCGCGTTCTTGTTCAGCTCTGGCTGCCGCAGCTGCTCGGGCTTCAGCAGCTCTGCGGGCTTCAGCTGCAGCTCTAGCTTCGGCTGCTCTGCGTGCCTCGGCCGCAGCGTTAGCTTCAGCTTCAGAGTCGGATTCACTCGAGTCATCGGATAAGCTGTATGTCCTGGAGGATGTAGTCACGGTCCTGGATGCACCTGATCCAGAGCCGGCTGCAGCTGCTGATCCAGCTGCATATTGTCGTCCTCTGTTGATGACAACTAGTCCTTCAGCTTCATAATTGTGCTGAGCAGGAGTGAAGTGACTGATGGTGCCTGATGGTCGTGCTCGGTTAACGACCTTGATTCTACGATTTAGACTGAGTCCATCGCCTTGTCCCGACTGCGAAGTTTGGTAGGTAGTTGTGCGTCTCGAAGAAGCAGCAGCGGCAGCTTGGGCGGCTGCAGCAGCTTGAGCTGCAGCAGCGGCAGCACGAGCAGCAGCTTCAGCCTGGGCTGCAGCGGCAGCCTGGGCAGCAGCGGCTTGCGTAGACGAGTAAGATGTCTGCGTGCGTGTCACAGTATTTCTAGAGGAAGAGCCTCCAGAAAAAGTGGCTGAGTTGGAACCTGAAGTTGAAGAACCTGAGCTCAGGGCAGCCCCGCTACCAGTTTGCTGAGCACCACGATTGATTACAACCGTTCCAGTGGCTTCATAGTTGTGCTGAGCCGGAGAGAAGTGATTGATAGTACCACTTGGTCTCGCGCGGTTCTGAACGCTAACCGTGCGCTTCAGAGTAAGTCCAGATGATGAGGAAGAGGGGACTGAGTAAGTCCTCTCGGGTGCTCTTGCAGTAACGAATTGCGTGCTGGGAGCTTCGTAGTTGTAGCCTCCCGAAGAAACACTGCGTGTGTTTGTGATAGAGCTCGAAGACTCGGTGTTTCCTCTGTTGATCACGACAGTACCAGTGGCGTCGTACACATGATCAGCCGGCGTAAAGAAGGAGATTACTCCAAGATTGCGTTTAGGAGTGCTCACGGAAACAGTCCTTTCGAGATTTAGAGACTGTCTGGCAGGCGCAGGAGCGGCCGCTTTCGGGGCTTCGGGGGCTTGGGGTGCGTTGAACTCGACTCGACCTGTGGCTTCATAGACGTGGTCGGCGGGAAGGAAGTGGGAAATGATGTTCGTATTTCGTTCGGGAGTTTTGACGGACACCACGCGGGTTGCCGGCCTCTTGTCTGCGGTGGCCGACGCCACCAGCAGGAGTGCTGCGAACAACGCCTGTGGACAAAGCGAAATTTATTGTAAAAGTTTCGGACAAAGTTTCTACTACTAGTTCCTACTGAGGATATTTGTGTATAAAACATCCACAACAAATCATCTATAAAATAATGTCGCTCATTTCTAAAGCATTAAGTAAATTAGTTATATAGAAATATTTTATTTACTTATTTCTGGCACAGTATAAAAGAAATAACAACAAATATTCGTGCTTTCGTTGGTCCTCCTAATTTTAACGACCAAAATCCTAAACTTGTAGGCAAACGCTTGTGAAGGTTATTTATAATGTTATTTCGTGAATGTTATTTGTCATTCATATCGTCCTAGGTGACATAATTCTATTCGGCCCAAACACTTTTACTTCCACGCTAGACAATTGAGCTCCCCGACCGCTCGTCTGTCCGTGCTCGACCATCACGGCACTCGTTATACCTGACGTGACCTTTCCTCGACGAGTCCATGCGTGCGACTCATGCAGCAGCAAACAACGAAATTGTGTTAGCAAGCGACACGAGACAAGCACCCTGACCTTCCCTGGGCGTGGAGCTGGCAATGACCCTCACAATATCCCCTTATTCGATTTTACTGAAGCTTTTATTCACTTCAAATCTTATATTGCAGCGGGATATAATCCCGTCAATGACGGTAAACTATGTAAGTAAACTATGTGATACTAAGATCAAACTTGTCAATCACAGAAAGAAAGTACTTAATCGAATGGGAAAATTATTTATGGATATTAAAACCGCATTCAAATTAATTCTTATGATATTTGAGTAGCAAGCATACACATCCTCGATCGTCTGCTAGAAGTTCATCAATAATATTTTCGAGAGAATAACAATAATAGAGAATAGCATTCGCGTGCCAACCATCGAGCTAATGTTATCCACAGAAACGTCGTAGTCTCTGACATAAGAACTTCGCATTGTTTAACGAGGCTGGAAAATGCAGATTAATTAACATGTGCGGTCACTTTCAACAATTTCGACGTTTAGGATAACCTACAACGCCCTCGCATCTCGCTCAGAAAATGGACCGCATATTTGTCGCTCTGACTCGTCCCATTAGGAGACACTTGCATCTGCACGCAGCCACGAATCTTACAAGCTTCATAGAAAGTTGCTCCAGAGATCAAGGTTGAGGCTCCTGCTAGAATGCTGTTACCCTTCCATGTCTTACAGAAGGCTGAACTGCTCAGCACGCCCCCAGCATTGATCATTCTGCTCATTATAAACTCGAAGAGCGCTCACTGACTCGTATTGTTGAGAGACTTCTGCTCACTAATGCAATGCGCGTGCTCTCTGCTCATGTCGGAGAGAGCAGTGACATTGAGTCGAACTGACGTCCGTTTTGAGTTCGTTTTCACTTCATCGTCGAAATTGATTATTTATAGGCTACCATGCAATTTTATATTCATTCACATTAAAGGGTGGGCTATTTCGCTATTTGCTGTCGAAATCCCGACGTAAGACTGTTATTTCTGTCGCTTCATATTTTACACTGCTCTGCCAGAAATTTCAAATGTCTCATTTCAATATTATGCAAGTAAATGTATTACTTTATTAGCTATCGCACTGAAACATTGTAGAAATTCCCTTGAAAATATAAAAAGAAACACCAATACTAAAGACAATGTAAAGCGAAAATTTGTCATACAAATTTAGACTTGCACAGGGCTGTCCTAAGACAATGTAGGCATTGAAAGCTACGGTCATCGTATATCAGACGTCGAGTATTCAGCGCAATGTGCTGAGTAAAGGGGCTTAAAATAACGATGTTAAGCCCCAAAATTAACCAGTACATGTCAGTAGGTTAAGGTATTAAGGTAAATGTGATCACACACAGAGCACGTGCGAAGTGCCGCGTCCAGCACGGCAGCTAAATTGTTCCATCGAGGCTGGGATCCTCTTGGCCTTCAATGCCTTAAACTGGACCGCTCTGCCCCTCGTGTGTCCAGCTAGAAAGTTCCACAGGGGGGCAAATTCATGCGGGAGCACCACTTTCCGCACCTGTATGAGCTCTCCACACCTGTATCAACTTTCCACACCTGTATCAACTTTATGCACCTGTATCAACTTTACGCACCTGTACGAGCTTTCCGCACCTGTCCGAGCTTTCCGCACCGATATCAACTTTCCGCACCTATATCAACTTTCCGCACCTATATCAACTTTCCGCACCTATATAAACTTTCCGCACCTATATTAACTTTCCGCGCCTATATCAACTTTCCGCACCTGTTTCAGCTTTCCGAACCTGCACAAACTTTCCGCATCTGAATTCTTTGAAATTCTACAGAGACCATAAGTTTCAAGTTGATCATAAACTCGAGTCTTATCTCTCAACTCGAAGGCTTGGACAAAAGCCGAAGTACGCGAAGGATTTACTTCGAGAAAGCTACTTGTGAGGTGCCAGCTGCTGGCAAGGACCTCGTCTTTTTTAGCATCGGAATTTTTTATTCGAATTTATTATATTATAAAATTTACATATAAACATCGTTTCAGGAGAGATTATTTCGATACAATCTTTTAGAATACGATTGTTTGCTATCTTTTTTGTCGTACAATCAAGTTTACTATTAAAATTAGTCTTCATAACAAACGTAATGCATGCATAACCGCATATTTATTTAGCATTAAAGAGTCTAAAAAAATTTAAAACAAAATATTTATTCAGAAAAATTCAAATTATTTTGGCTACATTTATATAAAATAGGTAATAAATTTATATTTTCCTGATATTATTGTTCTGGTACAGATATACCAGAATAATAACTTGTTCTTGACTTTATTTTATGGAAGGAGAAAGTGTTCACGTGGATAACTAATCGAGCGCCCTTTGTTTCAAGAGCCGTCGCTTGAGGCCAGCCTAAGATTGATGATCGTTTTTTTTACCTTCGCACTCATGGTAGTGAGAATGTCACAAACTTGCTGTCTGTACAGCGAGAAAAAACATTTACCGAGATCTCTATAAGCATTGCTGGAGCGAGGTCAGCAGGCATTCAGAAACTGAAGTATGTGCTTGATGCCGCACTAAAACGACCATAATTCTGTGCACGTCTTGCGTACCATCCAATGTACCATCCATATCATTATCGCGCCTCAACTAGCATTTTTTCATCAGGAAACTGTCGATAACAAGGAGATTAGAAAACTTCCGCGGAAGTCTTGACTTTGAACCCAAATTTGGTTATGCGGAGATATCTCATATTTCTGACTCGTTCGTAATGATGGCTGCGCAGCATGCAGGGCCGAAGTCCGTCTTACTTCCGGGTCAGTGATGGAATGAAATGAAAAAAAATCAATGCTATCAACAAATAATGACCATAATTCCATAGAAGTATTATTATATTGGAAATTGTTTGGAAGCCTGGGACTTAGAAGGCAGTTCTACCTGGCAGGGTTGGGCGTTTCTGGCGTTAAGTTCTTTGGCCTGCTGGAGTGAATGCCACAACACATATGCGATTCAAGTGCCTCATTCGCGAATGATCGTTCCTGGTGATAATCGAAGAAAATTTTTCGTTGTCATTGTTTCATTCAATTTTGAACCTTCATTCGGAAGATTCGTAAATAAAATCTGAAATCGTGTAAAGGAAAATATATTTTTACGACACTTCAGTCGAATATTTGAGTATTCGTGCACATAATCGAGGAGAAAAAACATCGCCCACGAAATTATTTATCCAAAATGTTTCCTTAAAAATGCTTCGATATTGCTACGAGTTTTGGGGGTGAGAGAAGAGGTATCATGAAAAAAGTACATCTCTAATTGAGGCTTGTTTGAGTCTTTCGTTTTTCTATGACATTTTTAGCTGCAACTTCACGATGAAAGAAATTCTCCAATTTACTCATGACCAAACTGAGCATAACTACTTAGGAAGCTGGCTAATAGTAATGCTGGCTATCGATAAAAAATGCATATTACTTAACTTATGAATCTGCGGGACTTACCTGTAAGGATCACAATAGTGAATGATCGGAAAAACTACTTCTGATCATTTAGAATAATTTCGTTCTTAAACTAAAACAAAACAAAAAAAAGGTTTAGAAACGAACGCCGGAACCAGAGTTGGAAAAACGCCTGGCATTACAACAAAGAAAGTGCTGAGAGGGCGCTTGCATGCAGAAGACCTCTTTGCAATTATTAGGGAATTTCATCGGGGATAATTATGATTAAAAATTAGAAACTAAAACATTTTTTTCATCTTAACACCTTTTCTTCTCTTAAAAAACCAAAAAAGATGAAGAAAAAGTTTTGACTGGATTATTCATTTACAACCCGGGTAAGCTTTTGTTTTATACTATTTAGGAACGACCGGTGCAATACCTTGAGGAATACCTTAAGGGAAGGATTTTGAGTTCTGTTGGGCATAAATTACTCCAAATCGACCGATATATTACCGGTCGCCTTAATTACGCCTGGCTACTTAAAGATCAATTCTATTTGTATTACCGGTCGCACGGCACCTTAGCTGCTTGAAGATCAATTTTATTTCAAGGAGCACAGTTCAAATAGTAAACTCAGATTACTTCTTTGTCTGCTCAAGTATCTCCTTCAGAATTTATTTATTGGCTTTGATAAAGAGGAAATACTTGAAGAATTCAGAGTTGTTATTTAAGAGCGCAATGTGATAATAATGCATTTGAATGTGATGCTTTCAGACGCAAAATTTGCAGACCTGCGACAGGTAAGTAGCACATGTACTGGAAATCATTATTTTCTAAGTATCATGAGAATTTATACAAAGGTTTCTTAAGTGGGCTGAACAAGGATTTTTCAGGCCACCCTGCCTTAGGAGCAAAATTTTCAATGCAATATTGTTTGTCTTGAGGCTTAACTCTATATATAATTAGGCAGAATTTAATTAGGGTAGGCTGAATTCGATTTGAATTACTACTTCTTCAATTGCTATTTCTTATTTTTAAATCATCTGATACATTAAAGAAGACGTAATGAATTGAATAATATGGGAACAGTTTTCATTCAAGTCACAACCT